AAAGCCTGTGTTTTCATACTGTGCTTCCTGAACCAGCAGCATTGGAAAGTACTAATTCAGGCAAATACCTGATATTTTACAGTGAGTTTAATGAACAAGAAGGCAGGAAATGTAGAGGAAAAGCAGTCTCTCAGACATGTTTTCTTCTGGAATATGATTACCAAACATGTGTTTTCTTTCAAGACTCCAGAGGAAGTGGAGCATTTCTGTTTTCACTTCTTGTGTTTTTGACCCCCTGAGTAGAAGGATTCATTTTTTAACATTGTGATTGAAATTTCAATTGCATTTCCAGGTTATTAAACAGGAAACATGGTTTGTGGGTTGTATTAGCATGATATCATCTTGTTTATGTAAAGAGGTGCAACTGAATGTAAACATCTTTCTCTGACTAATTAAGATCATTTTAAAACTCACAATGGGGAAGAGAGCTAAAACCCGGCACAAAGAGGCTGTCCATATGAGGGGCTGAGGACTGTATTATATTGCTGAGAATTAGAATCAGCAGTTGTGCCTTAAGTAACACAAAGATAAAGCTCCATAGTGGTAGAAAAAGAAAACAAGAACAGAGAATAACATTTCCTCCCAAAGGAGCTGAGCTAGGTGCACACACAAGAAGATTCTCCCCTATCTGCCCCCACAGCAGAAGGAGCTCACAGGGGTCATTCTGAGAGAAGACCCCTCCTTGTGTTAGTTCTTTAGGGAAATGTGGAGTCTGGTTGCCTTAAAAGGGTGAGATTATCTGAAGCACTTTTGAGTTTGCTTTCCGGCTTTGTTTAAAAAGAGATGGCTAAATTGCAAAAGTTATGTGGCAAACCTTATGAATTACTATGAAGTCAGATGTAAGTGAGAGCAGGAGGAGTGAGTTTTTACTTTCTTTAGGCTTGGCCCTCTGGTAAGAAAAACAATTTGGGATGGAATTAATGGAATGGCATGAAGAGAAAGAAAGCAGAGCTTGTGTTAGCTGTCTTACTTTGCCTCACTTTTCTAAGATGGTGAACAAAGAGTAGACTACTGGAGGAATCAGGAAGGAGAGCTAATACTTTTTCACCTGTGTCAAAGTTTTACACCTCTGGAAGGGCACTGGCTAAAATCAAGCGTAGAGGAAGAAGGCTTCCCAATATATCATTCATGAGTAATTCTGCTCCACTAACAATGAACACCTGATCCTGGTTCCCTTGCTAGGAGTCTGTACTCAGCAATCAATGCAACACGCACTCCAGATGTTTTAGTGTATGTTTCCAACCAAAAGGGTGCTAACATGAATATAGCCAATCTGGTTAAAATGTACAAACACAGCAAATAAGATGCTTTCAACAAATAAGACTCTGCTAAGTCAACCTCTACTATCAGTAAACCTGTAAGGAGTAAAACTAATTAAAAGAAAAATTATTTGCCAGAAATGAAAACATGTGGTCTCTTTTGTGGACAATTTTCAAATTTTAAAGTAGTTGACCGTCACGGTTAATAGTATTCTAAATGCTGTCAGTCTTCTCTGTCTTCAGAGGCCATTGTACTTTTTTGGCATTGCTATCATTGGGATAAGCTTTTCAGCTTTACAGGAAAGAGCACTAGACCTTATATCCTACTTTAGTTTAGACTGAAAGGAGTTTCCAATTAATGCTCAGTCAGTTCAGTGACCAAAACAGACAAATAAGCGTTTTTGATTATCTGTATTTGATAGCTCTGATACACAAATGTTATCAAGTTCAGTTCTCTGTGGTGTGTCAGGGATCTAAACAGGCCACAAAGTGGCTCTTTGTGTGAGATATATTGAACAGACACAGAAAGGAAGTGCAATTCCTACTGCCCAACATTTATTACCCGAGATTGCTTTGGAAGCTGCAAAAAAAGACAGATTCACTAAAGACCAGCCAAATCACTTTCACTTATAATGTAAGTAACATTTGTGTCCAGATCTTGATAGATTAAGTATTTCTGCTCCTGTCTGTGGATTGTACCTAACCTAATCAAGTATTTACAGCTTGAAATTGCATTCACTTCTGCTATTTTTATGAGGTGAATCCTAACTGCACTCAAGCCCAAACAATTGATTGTTCAAACAGCTTTGATGCTGGCTTGTGAGGTAATTCAAATCTGTTGAGCCAACTGGCTCACCAGCTAGGGAGATTCTAGCTTTAGGTTTTGTTTAGTATGTTGGAAATGTTTGTGGATTTTTTTCTTTGTTCATCTCTTGCATTTACTTTTTCTCCCCTTTCCTATCCACTATTCTTTTTTCCTTTTCCTACCTTAGAACTTTCCTGTATCATGCAAGGTCTATGTAGTTAGGAATTTTGTTTGTCTTGCTGTTGTTATATTCTACTTAATTCAGACTTAATCACACACTTATGATGTAGTCAGGATTTAGGATAAGAACCAGCATTTAAATCAGCATAATTTTACATGTAATGAGATTTTAGTGTGTTAGCCTTGAACCATAGCCCTCAAAAGCTGAACCTTATTTTTCTGTGGCTCATTTCCTCCACACTGGTCAGGTGGCATGAAGTGGTGGATCTGGATGTTCTTCAGAATTACATACTGAGATGGACAAAATACGCTACTTTTAAGTGGACAGTACATAGCAAGACAATGTAATATTTTACCATTGCTGTTGATGTTTACTCCAAACATGTACAGAGGCTTCAGATTTCAAAATAAGTTATGCAGTAAGTACAAGGAGGTGGACACATGTTACTAATGCATGGCACAGAGAAACAGGGCTCAAATATAATTCTTATGGGAGAAAACAGCCTTGAAATAATATAAAGACTATGACTAGTAGACAAAAGGCACAGAAGCAAAACTAAGGCCAACATTTTGTTGTTAACCTGGAACTTGGTGAAAAGTAAATCTTCCTCATTTTTTTAACATAGTTTAGAAATTTAAAAGACATGTTTGTGTCAGATTTAAATATAAAATATATCATCTCAAATATTTTGACTGTTTATATTGCAAAATAAACACACTTCCTAAACTTTGTTTCTTCCTGTATCATATTTGAATTTTCAACATAAAAAAAATGCCCACTAGTTTTCCATACTCATTCATTTTTTTAATTAAGCCACTTTTCTCCTTTGTTAATAGCAGAAAACAGCATCTTGGGCTAACATTTTGGTTCTACAACGTGTAGCACAGGCATTTGTTAATAACTGAAAAATGTAACTTCTAGAATCAGTAAATTAAACAATGAACTTTAAATGCAATGAATGATCTGCTTATATAGACTTTTATTGACTCTTTCAATACGACTAAGATGATGATTGACACACAGATCAGTGATAGATATTACTACCCAAGCCAAGTTCACATATATGAGCAAGAGAAAAACTAATGAAAAAAAAAATCTATCCTACTACATGATGACCTTATCTGAGAGCCTAATTTCTTTGGCAATGATTCAACCACCTAATTGAAGGTGTCAGACATAATTAGAAAGAACACTGATAAATCTTCCCTCATCTTTTATACCAGCTTCGTTCTTTGAAACTTGAAACTGCAGATAGTTCATCAGCTGATACAAGTTGTCTTCGTTCTATTGAAAGCCATGTCAGTTTCTGTCATCAAAGAATCTGCCCCCTTTGCCTGCTAATTTTAGATTTTTGTTTAATTTTTAACGCTGACATTTTAAAGATGATGTCATAGCCTTTTGCAGAGCAGTAGGACTGGTGAGGAGGTCTTTACTGTAATCCAGAACAGTCCACAGCACATGCCTTAGAAGGAATATATTTACTACCATTTACTCTCCATCCATCCTTGCACTTGGTCTAATGAAGACATTACCACTCCCTGCAGCCTTGGTTTGGCTTCTTTCTTAATGACCTTTCAGAGAGATATTTGAAAGTGTTAAATGGTGAGATATCTCCAGAACTGTTAAAAATCAGCTGAGAAAATGGTTATATAAAGAAGTGTATAAACTGTGAAAATAATGAAGGTGGGTGTTATTATTGTTTTTCTTTGTTTTGATATTAAAAAAATCTTTTGAGAAGTTTTAATTACATTATAGTCTATACTGAAGTTATGGCCTGACTAAATTTACTAGGTGGCATTCTACAGCCACATATTTTTATAACCATTCTGTGACAAGGAAAAATATATTAGATATGTAAATATCAAACTTTTGTGAAAGCATCTTATTTTTCATATAATTCACTGGTCTGATTCTTTCTTTATTCATACCTACAATAACATAAATATTTGCATCAATTCACTCCTGGATTAAGAAAAATTTGCTGTTTTAAAATATTCCACATGCCAGAAGTGAGAAGAAAATTTCTTTTTTTTTCTTCCCCTGGCAGATCAGCAGCAAAGAGTGAAAGTGCTTATTTTGTTATTCTCTTTGCTGCTCACCCATATGGGCTTTTCATTTCCTTACAGTAGCTGTTGCCTTCTCCTCAGCAAACAGGGGCTGTAGTTGGTAATCTTTGCTTTAGATTGAATCTACCTAGAAAGTTTTCCCAAGAAAGAGGCGTTGCCACAAGTTTTTACCATCTAAGCACAGCTGCAGAAGGTCAGTATTCTCAGTGCTGATGCAATCTGTAGAGTTGCCCAATCAGTGCTGCATGCATTGATACATGTAATATTAAGATTCTCTGCACCGATACTGCGAAGTAATTGATTTGCGTGTCTGTACTGTCACAAAAGCTCACAAAGTCATGGCCAAATTTAGCATGTATTTTTAAATATCTTAGCTTGCATTTTAAATATCTAATTATCAGTATGGGTTTTACCTTCCTGGACATGTCACCAGAAGTGTTTTAAGAGGTAGCTTTGCAGTTAGAAGTTAAGTGGTTTTGAATAGCAATGTATGCAAGCAAATAAAAGTGAAATTTAAAACTTTCATACAGAGGTTTCTAAATCTCTGTCACTCCAAAGTATCTTTTGAGTTTGATTTCTGACATCTGAGCACTCTACTAAGCATTGAGAATCTGAAGCCTTTGCACCATCAGTCAGGAGAGTTGACATTTGTACGAAGAGGAAAGTAAATGGTAAATGGCCTTTTCTAGTTACATCAACACCTGGGTTCTTGTGTCAGGAAGCCGAAGTCCTACCAGACCTCCACATACTAGAACAGTAGAAGCAAGGAGAATAGGGATTGCTTTGGTGATACCAACAAGGGAACCGAATATTAAGTTTCCAAGTACAGCTGCTGCTTTGCATAGTGCATTCAAAAAGCCAAAGCCTGTTGCCCTAGAAGAGAAAACAGAAGAAAGTTAAAAAATGGGTGAAAGGGTAAAGCCTTTGAGACAAATCCTCAGTGGGAATAAATCAGTATAGCCCCGATATCTTAAACAGAATTTATGCCAACAAAGATTCTGTGCTTGTCATTATAATACGAAATCAAAGCTCAGCTGCTACAGAATTTTATTGATGCAAATTCATTCTGCTGCCTGAGGGACCAAAATGTGAAATGAATGACTGAATAGGTAACTTTACACCTCTACAGTAGAACAAAGGACTTGCAAATGGAAATTCAGTAACACTTAAAATGCTGGTTTCGGAGAGAGGAGGTTGGAAATAATTTGAGAGCTACCTGGTGATTTGGGAAAGAAGTAACCAGAAAAAAGAATGATCATCTTGTACACTGAATAGAAATGTATTTCTTACAGGTGGTATACATGTTCAACCAGTACTTTTTGAAAAGGTTAATGAGACTCCAATAATAATCAATGTTTGTCTCTTAGAGCTAAAGAGAATAGGGTATAAAACCCCATTGCTTGGTGTAGAAAAGGTACCTGAGAAACTCCGGAAAAAAGGGAAAGGAAATTGATTACCAAACGAAAGTATGACCTGGGTGACTCAGAGGGTCTTTTGCATTGCAGTGGTGTGATTTTAGTAATCTGAATTAAGCATTTTAGATATTTGGTATCCTGTGCGTAGATGTATTATGCAAACTGCCATCATATTAATAAATGTTTTGACATGACTGTATGATTCATAGTTGCCGGAATAACCTTGTACTACCAAAAATGTCGCAATAAAAACATCTGTATGATAGAAGAATCTCTAACATTTCTCAAATCTCTTAGAAGTGAAAGAGTGAAGGACTATGTGGAGCTCACACTGTGCTCATTGGGATAAAATTATAAGAATCGAGAGGGTAGAAATTTATTTTCAGAACAAAGTGTTTCTTTCTTGTTAATATGAAATACTGTCATTAGAAGGAAGAAGCCTCCAGTCTAAACAGCAGGGATTAACAGAAATGCTAATGGTCTGAGTGACTAAAAAGAGCCCTAGTTATTGTATTAAGGTGCATGTGAAAGAAAGAAAGAAGTCTTGTGCTCACATGTAGCCTGAATTCCTAGGAAGTAAGTTTGAGAAACTTCTACCAGGGATCCTAAAGAGCAGCCCAGAGAATTGAGTTGAAGTAAGCACACTTGATCCCAACTGAGAGCAAAGATATAAACTCCTAACATTCTTCACAGAACTATTTTTTGATTTTGATAGCAGCAGACCATGGTATCAAGGGAGAAGACATCCTCTCCTTCAAGCAATTGATGAACATGACCACAGCCCAGAGTGTCACTAGTTCATCTCTTCTGCTCCTCTGCAAATCTGGCTGCTGGATCTCAATAGCATTGATCAGTCATGCCCTTCAGTGTTCTACATCCAAGTCTTATACTGGGGCAGCGGTAAAAGCTTCTGCCTAGTATAGTTGACTAGGATATAGGGGATTTCAGCACTGTCCTGACTATCTGACATGCTGTGCTTCAGAATTATACCAGTCCTGGTATATTTGAGGACCTGCACCTAAAGAACAAGGAAGGTAGGTCTAGATCCTTCTGGTATATATCTAAATCACTCTAGTTTGCTTGAAGTAGCAGAACTGTAGTTATCCCACAGAGTCAACTCCAGAATCAGAACAAGATTCAGAAATGTGCTAACTTGAAGTAATGGTACTGTGATTGTCAGATTCTTAAATCAGTTAAAAGGATGTTTGTAGAACAGAATTAACACATGGAACAGACTAGTTAATATACCTTCAAAAAGACTTTTTTTCTGTTAATGTTAAATATTCATTTGTCCATGGTTGCAGACCAAAGTAAAATTTCTTTGCCTAAGACATTATGGAAGTAAAATCAGAAGAGTTGATATTTACAGTTCCAGTGTCAGTTCTACGTATTATATGCCTTTTCTGACCCCAGGACAAGACACAAGTTAGTCTCTTTTGCTGGGTGATTATAATAATAATTAATTTATTATTTGTTTGTCTATATGTCTCTTGCAATTGGCAGCAGTGTTTCAGTTTCTTTAGGAAACCTGAGATTTAGGCAAGTAATTATTATTTTGCCTGAAGTAATCATAATTCCTCTTTGTGCAAAAAGTGGCACCTATCCAGACAATAAGTACCAATGATATCTAGGGAAGGAGAGACAGGTCATTCTGATGGCAGAGCAGAAACTACCTAGAAACACTGTGAAAAAACAATCACAAGAGACTCAGACAGGCCTTCTGAATGTTCAAAGACCTTACTTGCTTTTTTTTTTTTTTTTTTCCTAAATTCGATTAAACATCCAGTACTTTTACATAATACTTACCACCAAGAAGTGCTAAACATGAACATCCTGGAGATAACCCTCTGCTGTTGGACATTGCAGACCAGTGAGGGCTGCCCGAGAGCACAATGTTGAGAGTGGAAAAGAAAACTTTGGAAGAGTTGCTGGTGAAGCTTTCTGACAGAGAAACATTTGCAGCAGCTCCTTGAAAATGCCTTCCTCAAAGGAGAAATGAGAAAGTTAAAACTTGCCCATTTTAAGGAAGACTTTGGAGGAATCAGTCCAAAGGAGAAGTGAGAGATTCTCTGAAGGAAGCAGTGAAGAGCCACCTTACTGGAGTAATCTTGCAAAACCTATGAGAAGAAGGTCAAATCTCTACCACAGAAACATATGTACTACAAAAGCAGATAAAGCAGAGCATCAGAAGAATTTTCTCACCAACAAGGAAGGGCTGGTAGGCGATACGAAGCTCAAGGGCAGCCTTGGCTGCAGTGACCATGAAATGGTGGAATTCAGGATCCTCAGGGCAGCGAGGAGGGTGCGCAGCAAGCTCACTACCATGGACTTCAGGAGAGCAGACTTTGGCCTCTTCAGGGATCTGCTTGGTAGAGTACCATGCGACAAAGCTCTGGAGGGAAGAGGGGCCCAAGACAGCTGGCTAATATTCAAGGGTCACCTCCTCCAAGCTCAGGAGCGATGCATCCCAACAAAGAGAAAGCTAGGCAAAACCACCAAGAGGCGCCCGTGGATGAACAAGGAGCTCCTGGGCAAACTCAAACACAGAAAGGGTAGAAGCAACGGCAGGTAGCCTGGGAGGAATACAGAGAACCTGTTCAAGCAGCCAGAAATCAGGTTAGGAAATTCAAAACCGTGATAGAATTAAATCTGGCCAGGGACATTGAGGACAACAAGAAAATTTTCTATAGCTATGTCAGTGAGGTGCCAACCTCATGAAGTTCAACAAGGCCAAGTGCAAGGTCCTGCACATGGGTCAGTGCAATCCCAAGCACGACTACAGGCTGGGGGAAGAATGGATTGAGAGCAGCCCTGAGGAGAAGGACTTGGGAGTGTTGGTAGGTGAAAATCTTAACATGAGCCAGCAGTGTGCGCTTGCAGCCCAGAAAGCCAACCGTGTCCTGGGCTGCATCACAAACAGTGTGGCCAGCAGGTTGAGGGAGGTGACTCTCCCCATCTACTCCACTCTGGTGATATCCCACCTGGAGTACTGCATCCAGCTCTGGGGTCCCCAGTACAAGAGAGACATGGAGCTGTTGGAGCGAGTCCAGAGGAGGCCACAAAGCTGATCAGAGGGCTGGAGCACCTCTCTTATGAAGAGAGGCTGAGAGGGTTGGGATTGCTTAGCCTGGAGAAGAGGAGGCTCCTGGGAGACCTTAGAGCAGCCTTCCAGGACCTGAAGGGGCCTACAGGAAAGCTGGTGAGGGACTGTTTACAAGGGCATGGAGTGACAGGACAAGGGGTAATGGGTTTAAACTAAAAGAGGGTAGATTTAGGTTAGATATAAGGAAGAAATTCTTCCCTGTGAGGGTGGTGAGGCACTGGATGAGGTTGCCCAGAGAAGCTGTGGATGCCCCATCCCTGGAAGTATTCAAGGCCAGTTTGGATGGGGCTTTGGGCAACGTGGTCTAGTGGAGGGGGGTCCCTGCGCAGGGAAGTTTGGAACTAGATGATCTTTGAGGTCCCTTCCAACTGAACCATTCTGTGATTCTATGACTCTAGGAATGTCTGGAGGAAGCTGACCAGGATGGAGAGAAGCTCCTGAGAGGGAAGGGGCTCCACACTGACGCCATCTTGTAGGGTGAACAAGAGTGCAGATAGGAAGGAGGAGCATGAAAAGGAAAGACTGTGATAAAATAGACTTTGTTGCAAACAGGTAAAAAAAAAACCCAAACTTGCTCCCGAATAACAATAACAGGTAAAAAGGCAGTGTTCACATAGAGAAAACAGACACTTAGTCATCAACAGCTTCAGGATATTCAGAGAGATACCAGAACTCCCCAAAGAATAGATATGTCTAGCAAAAGCAAATTTGGATAGGTACAGGCAGGAAATCTTTGGAAAGGCAATAGCACAAAACATATGGGGATGCTTATATTCAGTGTTGTTTTATAGTGTCTTATAAAGGTAAGCTGTTTCACAGATGCTATTTGTTTATATCAACTAGTTATAACAGGGGTCTGAATATAATTTTCTGAGCAATTTGGATGAGTTCTTTTCATGTGCTAGGCTTTACAGGTAGCATGTTCAGGGCTGCCACTGTGATTTAGATCTATTATAGGTTATATACCCAAGATTATGTTATTATGTTTTAAAGTAATTTTGTAATACAATATCTCTTATATCTGAGCAAAATTAAAGTAATTTGTTGGCACTGGAAAACCAGTTCTGCTTTGTAAAATGGATTTATTAGATTTTTCCAATTGTAAGGGGTCATTATTAGTGTAATCCCATTAATGTTATCAAATTATAAAAAGAGAAGAGTAAGACAAAGTAAGTCTACTTTTTTTGCTTTTGACTGTCCTGATGATACAAAATGAACAATGCAGCAGAAGTTCAATCTTTTGATCTTTAAGCAGTTTTCAGGCATGTCCTTTCACCTAAAATATGCGCAGCATTGGCAGGAACAGCAAGATTTTTACAGGCTGAAGTAAAATGTTGTTGCAACCTGTACCTGAAAAGCATTGTCACTGTTCAACCTTTTGCCTTCGTATCCTTCAATATTAATACTACGGTTCAATGTGCATTTCTTCTGTATTGATAGTCAGAACAAAATCATTAACAAACTGTTGAGCTCCAAGGATAGCAAACTCAGACTTGTTGGGTTTTAAACATCTTTCTTAGAACAGTGTCTGTGATTCAAATCAGCTAAAATCTGTGTTAATTCATGCCTTTATAATTACTTCTACTGAATCCAGGGGAGTGAAAATAGCTAGGCAATAAATATGCTGCAATTCACATACAGAATCGAGCATAATCTTCTCTTGCAGCACTAGTACAGTCTCTGTTACCATGTTTCAGGAAAGTGCAAGAGTGTACAGAAAGTCTGCAAATGATCAAAGGTATGTGACATGTCATCTCAGCACCATGAATAAATAAAGTGAAAAAAATCTGAAGACATAAGGCCATTACTATATACACCAATTTCCATTATGTTCATCAGTTATTGGGTGAGGCACTGGCACAAAATTATTTTTTGACTCCATAAGCAATCCTTATTACTGGTCAAGGGAGTTCAGTAGCAAGAATCCCTTATCCAGCTAGAGAATGTCATTAAATCTTTCAAGCACATCAGTAAGATAATGCTGGTGAATCAATCTGCGATTGCCTTACAAAACAAACAAACAAACAAAAAAAGTTACTGATTTTAGTATTGATAAGAGAAAAATGCAGAAGTCCTCTAAAAGTGTCAGGTCTGAGAGAAAGCTGGATGTTAGGGAAAAGAAATTTTCCCCAATGTATTTTACTTCTGTTGCTGGGAAAGCTGCAACAAAGAAAAGTCTTTAGCTTCCTTTCACCCAAGCCCCACATAAAAATGGCAAGAGTCCAAACAGTTAAAAATAGAGGGATTATCCAAGCCTCTAGATTAAAAGAGCTTGTTTCTTAGTTGCCACATATGGTCCTTCTTAGACAAGGTGCTTATATTCCTATAGAAAATACTTCAGGCGCACTTTTCCATTGCAAATAGTCAGAGCACCTAAAAACTTCATTGTCCTGCAGTGGAGCGCTACTGAATGTGTAGCACAGACACTTGATAACTTTCTTGCCAGAGATAATGTTGACTCTATCCAGCAAGTTACAAAAACCTCTGAATATCACTTTTTTGGTTGTTGATAAAATGCAAAGGCTATTAAAAGAGTTTCTGAATGTGTTATGGACAATTTTCCAATGTACAGACATTTTAAGATCTTAAAAAATTAGTACAAAGATGCATATCATATCCTGGCCAATTATAGCATTCAGTGTGCAAGTAACACCATGGATTTTGCTTTTCTGCCTTGGACTACTGCTCAAGGCATTTCACAGTTTTGGCATGTCATACCTGAAAAACATTAACATGAAATTTCAGCAAAATGCAGTTGAACCACAGCCACAGGATGGCAGTAGAAAATAGCTATCAAGAAGTCTACAGTAAGTTGGTGACTTCTGTTATGACTCAAAAGAATAGAAAACTTCTCTTCTGACAGCCACAATAGTATGAAGTTGGATTTAAGATACCCTGTGAATAATGTTGATTACTCTGTGGATACATTTTCAGGGCTCAAGAAGAAAAGAAAAAGATAAATATAATGAACTGAAGATAGGTGACTTATTTCTTAATTATGACCAAACTCTTATGCACTGATTTCAGAGGTATTAAAAAAAGGCAAAACAGGATGACCTCATTTCATAGCACACCTTGAATTCTAAACATTCTTAGCCAAGATTCAAACCCAGCTGTAGTAAAACTGACAAATTGTTGGTTATCTGGTGCATTCTGACCTTGATTTACTCTATGGGAGATGACATTTTTTTCTATTCCACTTTCTGTTTAGATTTGGGTTATTTGTTGTATGCACTCCTTGACAAGGGTCTTGGCTTATAAAGTTGGTGCTTTCCAAGTTAGTTCACAAGAAGATATGTATCATTTCTGTGAAAGTAGCAATTGCATTTTAAAGTCATAAAAATCTCCTAAATGTTACTTCTCCAGAGAATTTTAACTCTTTTGAATTCATATTTCTATTACAGGCAGAGTTAGGAAACTCTGCAATATTATTGTAAGCCCCTTGGGCACACACTTTACAACACACGCCATAATTACCTCATCACACAATATTTTTTTTCCTCATCAGTCTGCCAATGCACAGAACAAAGAGAACTTGAGGGTAAAACATAAATGCGGTGAAGAAAACTTGGTTTCCCTTGTCTGCTGCAGCAGTTGGAAGGTGCACTGTGAATAAGATTAGGGATTGCAAGATGAGAAAGCAGTCTCATGCTTAAGGTAGTTGAGTGCTGTCAGGAGGAAAGATACAATCCCTACCCCAGCCACAGAATTTGCATCTGATGCGAGCAAGTCACTTAAAGCTAACTAAACAGTCATTGAGTATGCATTTCACATTTTCTGCGTGCTTGGCTTAGCACCTTCTGGTTTGTGTTGCTGAAGTGCTGAGGTCTTACAGCTGCAGTGGAAGTTACACTTTCAGCTCACTCCCTCTTCTAAAATGGTCAGTGACTGGGATTGTTGGTACCACACGTGAAATTGGGCATGTAAAGTAATTTTTAACAATATCTTTTTTCTTCCGTGCCTCCATTTCTATGTTACCTCCTTTCAAAGCAACGTTTGGAAAATATGGAAAGCTTTGTGTATTGAAAAGTAAAAAAGAAAAAAAAAGTAATATTATCAAAGGATTATTCGTTACCACCATGTGTGTCATCTGGAAGACAGAAACCTACTTATGACTAGCATTAGTAATATGCTATCCTTTAACACAACTTTGTCATCTACCTGAGAACCATTTGAAATCTATACCCCCTCTAACATATCTTATTTTAGCAGCTGTGCAAATCAGTTGAGATTTTATAAAGAACATGCAGGCAAAGCTATGCTAAAATGGCATAAATTTTGAAAGAACTCATCAAGAATATAGGACAAACTACTTAATTACCTCAAATCTAGGTATTAGTAAATTAAAATATGAATAGGTAGATGAGTGTGAAGGAATATAGAATCCAAATCTGTTAAGATTTTGAAGCAACCTTAACTCTGCCCTGCAGGCAGCCGATGAAGAGGAAACTGAAATGTGTGCTGTGTATCATATACGCTGCACATTTCCAAATTGCTCACCACACCCCTACCTGGTAAAAAGCCAGTATGAGCCCTGTATAACCTGGAGTACAATTTATGAAACACCTTTTGTATTATGCTGCGCAACACTGGCAAGGTCCCAGCGGTTTGGCAATGGGCTGGTCTCCAAGAGGGTTTGTGCAGGAGGAAAAGGAGGGGCTGCCCAGCCTGGTATCTTGTGCATGATAGCGTGAACTGGCCTCCTTCTACACACTTTTCTTCCCACCCAACCTCCAGCTGCACTTTGCTGCTGGTTTGTGGTCATTTCATTGATCAGGAGTAAGGAAAAAGTACATACTGGAATAGTAAAATACTGACAGAGCAAAGTTGTTTTGCCTAGATTGCCTTTAGAGGAGAAACTGGAAGCTGGTTTCAGGACCAGATTCACTCTGGATGCAGATTTGAAGTGAAAGAGGGCAACATCTTAAGTCTGAAAGACCTCATGTGCAAAACCAGATCAGGCAGCTTCGTGTACCGTATATACCTGTAAAGGCTGCTCAGCCCTACAGCTACTTGCAGAAGCCAGAAATTCCCAGCAAACTTTGGCAAGTCATCTCAGGCTATGGAGATCAGAGGAGTCTTAGAAGAAAAGACAGGACCATCAGAGGTGGGCAATGGTGGCTGTTAAACTGTAACTGGTGTGGATAAAAAAATATCAGGGAAAAAATTCTGGGAAGCAAGTTATTTGGGTCCCTGCAGTTATTAATTTTCAAATAGTTCTATGAAACATGAAGAAGCTTTTCCCCAGTCAAAAAAAAAAAAAAACCAAAACCAAACCATGTCTAGGAAGTGACTTCTAGAATTATTCATTGCCTTATAACCCAGCTGGCAAAAACTGGCAGTGATGGTTCCATCACGTCTGGAACGTTTGAAAAAAAATGTCATCTACAGTATATATCATCAGTGTCTTTCCTGGCACAGGTAGATTTGGCCAGTTTATTCAAGAAAATGTGACTCTTACATTTTTACTCTCATCATACAACAGTGTATGACTCTACTGTTCTTTCAGTCCTTTAAGTGACAGAATATCAGCATGAAAAAGTACCCTGTATCTGAAAAAAACCCCACATGTCATCTACCAGAAGTCCTTGCAGGACATGACAATTGTCTGAGCTTTCCTGCAAGAGCCCTGAAGAGTCAGGAGCAGTGCCTGAGACATTTTTCTACCCACTTAATGCTGCGTATGTACGCTCCTAATGACCCTGCATACAAATTCATTGCAGACTGACTAACAGCTCAGCATGGTTCAAGCCCACAATCTGTTCCAGAAGATGTTGTTCAGCTCCAGACAGTGATCATCCCCACCGTTTCACAGCCAACAGGCAAATGCAGCTATATTGCTGTTTTCGACCAACTACTGCTTTCATAGCCAGTTGCACTAAGGGAAAGCCAGAAATATTCCATTACTGCTTTCAGAAATACTACTCATTAGCTGTGTTTTAAATGAGAGTAGTAGTTAGACCTTCTTTTTTCACATGAAACTACATTTGTGCTATTTTCCTGATTAGGTGATATTTCATGTGAAATCCATACCAAATTGCTAAAAAAAAATATCTCTTTTTTCTCCTTGCTATTCGTAAGACAAACTATTCATTCGGTCCACTCAAAACATTACTATCTCTGTAAAGCTCATACGTTACCGTTTCTATTTACCATTTTTGCTGGTACATAGAGATAGTGTGAATGAGGTTGGGGGGCGGGGTGTATCTGCGCATACCTTCTATCTGTAGGGTACAGCTCCACAGTAATGACATCTAGAGAGTTCCACGCTGAGATGGTGAGACCGTTGTAGAGGCACAGCATACCTATCATCATGGATTCACTGGTCCCAAACCAGAGGAAAAAACAGCTGATGCCAGAGAGAACCATGGAACCACCTAGGTACAAGACAGATGAAACGAACGTGAAGTGGAGCTGTATTAAAGAATGATCTTTGTTTGTTTTGTCTAATGTTTCTATGTGCACACAGTGTAGCTAAATAACTGACCCATATATTTCAGTTAAAAACTAAAGAGATGTCCTCTGCTGGTAAGATCAGTCAGGCAAACATTGTAAGGGACTCATAGAAAAAAACCCATAACTCCTAAAATATTAGGATATATCATAAAATATTAAGCTGGAACCCTCTCTGAACTCCCAAAGCAAGCTGCCTGGGGAAAGCTACCCCCATTCTTCCTTGGTCATCGTCTTCTACAATTACATGAAACTCATTTGTATTTTGTAGCGATAAAAACACTGAGTAGGAATTGCATTTGTTTAGAGATATTGTCCTAGAAAATTAATACAATGAACTACCACATAGTTATTTAAGTAAATTGAAAACAGATTTGTCATTGTAGATAGTCCACAGGAGATATCTTTCAACTGTGTTGCTTTGCAAAATAGATAACAGGCAAAGGACTGCTCACTCCTCCAAGGAGTTGCTCCACTAGATGAGGTCACCTGTGCACATCTCACTTTCCTTTCAGCTGGAGCAAAGACAAGCTGAGGGACAGTACTCTCCAAAATCTCATCCCAAATGCCTAAATAACGGTCTCGTAATATCAGCATGGAAGAGCAATAACTGATCATGTGGCATAACAGAAGTGGTTACAGAACCCTTTGTTCCTAGAGTTTCTAAATTGAGGGCTTTTTAAAATGCCACTTATGATGCCATAAAATGAAGTATCTGCAAAAGGAATGTTTTGCATCTCTCTGAACCAAATTCTTTAAAAAGAGAACACGTTACTTTATCAAGAGAGCTTTAGGTTTTGGTGTTGTTTCCTGTTTTAAAGTGAAGCCTCTACCTAGCATTGTTAACCGTCCAATTCTGTCCATCAGGAGAGCGGACACAATATTCCCTGGTAACACTGCCAAAGTTCCCAGGAAATTAACAAAGTAAATCCAGTAGGCACTGTAGTCATCATCAAAAGAAATCTGGCACCCTGTCCTGATGTGGAAAAATGTGCAATTTATCAATTTGCTGTCAACAAATTTATATGGCTCGAGATCTGTGGAAAGAAGAGAAAGAAACATTTCAGCAAACAGCCAACTCCATGTGCAGCTTTTGATTAAAAACATTCCAAGTTTGGGCAACTTTAATGACAACTTGGAGCTTTCACTGCTTTGTAAAATTGGACTAGTTACTGTTGTTAATTTTGATACGTTTTAATCTTAATAGAAAAATATGCAAAGCTCATGAAAAAGAGCAACTAAGACCTGAAATTAGGCAAGTTATATTACTGTATTTCAGCTCTGCTGGGACTGTATTTGATTAAGGCCTTTCAGCACCAGCATGGTCTTGCATAAAAAGCACTGGGTATCTGCAAGTTTCTATCACTTGGTCTTGCTCGGCATCAGACCTATTTGCACACCAGACAGCCTTTCAGGTGAGACTACCAGTCATACTCAGTTTGGTTTGACTTCCTTTAAAGTGAAACATTCCTACAGAATTCAGTTTAAACTAATTTTCATTTCTGAGAAGGCCTCATGGTCTTCAGCTCTAACACAGGTGAGTTATTATATGCAACCATTCAGGCCATTCTTCTTCCAATACCGTTTCGGACATGTCTCTCTATACTTACACTTTCGTTCTGTTCCTTATAAGCCTGAATCAAGAGTACCTTCCTTCCATGCAAAGAAAGCTGGGGATTGCCTCCTCTGAAACCTAACTCTATTATTATTATAATTGCTGAAGTAGTTATGGGAAAGCGGTAAGAAGTGCCCTGTCTTTCCAACAAGCTTAGTTGGCTATGTTCTGTTTACAGTTATGTTTTATTAAATCAAAAAAAAAAAAAAAAGGTCTTCTGTTTAAACATACAAATATACACATTCCTACTTTTGTTACAATACTTAGGAGAGTGGGAATGATTATAGATTAGGTAGTTTGAATCCTGAACTCAGATTCCCATGCCACAGTAAGCACAATGAACAAAGTATTTCACCAGTCTCATTTAGACTAAATAAAAATACACTAGTTAGAGCTACCAGTAAAGCAGTAAATATATTTTTCTTCTCTCCAGACTGAATATCTTTAGAGATTATTAAAATCAAAGAGATATTTATAATCAAAGAGATGTTTATTAACTGAGTCAATATTAGGCCTGCAGTGTCTCTAGTGTGGGTGTGATCCTTTCACTTTTGCTATAACCTTATCGAGGCCTGTTGCTTTTTATAGCTTTTTATTCCCTACAAGAGGACTTCTTGTATGCCTTATTAGAAATCCAGAAATTATAAACATAAGAAGATGAGAACGTGCAGCTGAACAACGGATGTCCAGGGTTTTTTCTTGTAATACCTGTGTTGTAGAAGGTGGTATTCATGAAAGTACAGTTCCTGAAGTAGGTATTCAGTGAAGTAATGTCTTCAAACACACAGTTCTTAAAAAGTGAATCTTCAAAGGTTACTGATTTAAATTTCATCATAATAAACCTGCCCAATACAAATAATTTCTATCAGTCTACCTTCATAGGTAAGAAAGAACAACAGGCCAAGCTGATGCAGCTATATAGGTCTAAAAAATTTCAACCCCAGTAACAATGATTCCTTAAAGGCATTCTGGAGATGTAATAATGTTTAGCTGATTTCTATCATTCAGAAAAAAACATTAATAAGACAAATAGCTCCACATAGGTACTGGCCACAACTGGTAATACAATTTCTTTGATAATATTTCTGTTCTTACTTGTCCATAATCATCAATCAAACCCAATGTCACGACATTCATGGAATAGCCTTGTAAAATCACTATTACTTGTAATTTGACATTACAGTGGAAAGTGGGAGATCATGCTCCAGAAACTCAGTCTCTTGGAACAAACAAGCACCTGCTAGTACCAACAAGCTGGAAAGAAAGATTTTTTTAAAGAATGTTTCTTTCTCCAGATTAACACATTGGGCACCATGTCAGGCTCAAATGCAAAACATACTGATCCAGGTGTTAACAAATGGTTTTGCAAAATGGTTTAACATGAACACAGCCATTATATTGCCAGTTACACAGCTATCTACCTGGAAGTATGTGTTTGTTACTCCTGTGCCTGTGGATGCAATTGCAATTACTGTGTACATAAAACAGCTATAAACAAACTGTCACTATCTTTTCTTATTTCTGAACATCCTCTTTCCTACTGACTCGTATTTAACTCCTAGGTCTTTGATCATAACAGTCAATCAAGTCATTCATAGAAGTCAATGATGAAGTGTATTACTAGCAGTAACTTTCTACTGCAGTATTACTGGACTAGAACAATTCTGTAAGCCTTTTTTAGTATAATTCTAACAAATAACATCATTATGCTAACAAAACAAAAAAAGACAGATGGAGAAATACATCACTATTTTTGTCATGTCTTTTATTTCACATTGTCCTGTTTCAGCCACAACACACATGAAGGTGTGGAAGAAGCTACAACTAAAAAAAGGCAGTTTTGCTGGCAGACTTCACCCAAAGTGGCAACAGTTTGAAAAGCAGTGCTTTAATTGTTATATGGCAGTAACAACTGTCAAAATGGCAAAGTCTTCTGAACACAGACCTGGCTCTGTGTTCTTATAGTTTTCTTATTACAAGACTAATAACAGGAATAGGAACACATAAAATATGCTACCTATGAAATAGTAAGAATTAAACTCTCTCACCGATAAAGTTGGTGGAATCACATTTTTATGAGAAAGGAGACCAAAAGCTAATTTTGTTTATCACAGGAAAAGACTCACTAGCTAATGAATTTGTGTATTGGTCAGAAGAATGGTGTTTTCAGCCCATTAGTTTTAGTTACTATATCATTTCTCATTTGTGACAGACTCTGATTAAAATCACGCTAACAGTCAGTGTCAACTCCTTATCATTTTTCATATAGCACTTTCTATTTTAAAATGTAGCCTAATTCCAGAGAGAACAAAGAAAAATTGGCAATTAGATTAGTCACTTGGAACAGAAATGACAGACTATATGTGCCCTACATTCTTCTGATTCACTTTTTACCTTCGGACAGGAAACATGTTGCGATGATTTGAAGTAAAACCCAAAAGAAACGTAATGAAGTAAAAAGTCAAACATTGATGGATCTTCTAGTTAAGAAAGAACATGAAGGAAACACTGAGGTTGAGTGTGAGTGGAATATTCAAAACATTTTTGGAGGAAGACTACCAAATGTGTTCGTACTTCTGCGGAAAGAGTTTTGTGAATCTCAAATAACTGTCAGATGCCCATTAAATTTGCACATTCGAAAGAGTAAATTAGTGTTTTAGAACAGATTAATTTAGATGTAGTGTTTTACAAGAATGTTCAGTTCAAATTGATAGACCTCAGTTCACAGAATGCTGTCAGTTACTGACAGTAAATGGTTCTTTGCTTTTCTACCTCCTGGAAAGGAGTAGACCTGGGAAGCTATGGCTAGTTTAAAAACGAGATAGCTGTGATTTCTTGTCTGCAATACATAAACCTTTAACTGTGTCAAAACTCCAGTTCTTATAAAAATAATTTTAAAATCCCCGTATTACTAAAATCATTAATTTTGTTCACTTAGATATAGATTTTCCTATGAAAATAATGATTACTTAGCACTATGACTTCTAGGAGACCATTCACATGGTTGTTCTGTATATTTCTTAAGAGAAACCAGATAGATACCTAAACCAGCTGTGTTTAATTTTCCCCTAAGTTATCTAGTTATGTGTAAAGTCCAGATAGAGCCTTAATATGTTTGCATTCAGTTAAAAAACACAAAAGACATTGCCAACATGTTGTTTCCCATTTCAGAGCTGTTCATACTTTTTATTGATTTACAGTAATATTTAGCTTTCATTTTTCTGTGATAAGATCCTAACCTCTCAATGTTCAACGTTTTCACAAAAGCATCTTTCATCAACATAAGAGCAGAACTGGCAACATAGATGAAAGTACATCCTTCCCCAGCCCCCTACAATATGCCGCATGTGTTGGGTCTGAGAACTTTTGAATCCCACTGTGAAAGGAAGTATCATTAACTTAGGCTTTTTGGTCTGTTTTTCAGGATGACAAGGAAGCTGGGTAACATGAGGGATCCTCACACAGGAACCACTAGAGCATGTACAGGTCCACTTCTCCCCGTGCTCCACAAGTCATGAGAAATCAAGAACAGAAATAGATCCCCATTTAAAAGCAACAAAACCATCTATCATTAGCTAATGCAGAAAAATATTAGATTATTAGAACATGCTTTAAAACATGCATTTGTTTATTCCAGCCAAGCGAGGGTGCAGGGAATCTCTAAACCTGTCATTGATGTATTCTCCATTGCTGTGAATCTGATTTTCCAGTGTGAAGTTGAAGACGAAATGTGAAACCTCCTCATTGCGGAAGTGTTTCACTCTGGATGCATACTCATCTGACTGCAGATGTTTAATGACATCAGGAAACCAGACAGATAAGCCGTAATAGCTGTGAAAAACAGAAAAAGCTCAGTTGCCAATCTCACTTTTTTGAAAATCTGTGCAAGGTGAGGATGAGCAGCTCCCTTGGCTGCTTACTTGATGGAGCGGTTGCTCCATCATAATAAAATCCTCCATAAAATAAAAATATTGAAAGATGCTGACACTAGAAGATGCCAGTTTTCTGAAGCAGTTATTCTTGATGAATCAGGGTTACAACCAAGACCAGACTAACCGATAAATATAAAATTTTGTGGAAAGATACTGAATAAAACCTTTCTGAATAAAAACAGAAATCATAGTGACAGAAATTTGCATGCAGATGATTCTTCTGTCTGTAAATTCTATCAAAGATCACTTAAGATCTCAACCGTGCTTACCCAAAAGATAGGGTGAACCATACAGCTGTAAGTTTGATTGTATTATCCTTCACCGGGTAGTTGAAGCATCTCATAAATGTCAACCAAATCTGTAAATTATTAGGAAATACATTTATTTTACATCATATATTGAACAAATTTGTTAAATGATAGAAGCTTTTTGGTTCACATTTGCTTGCTTATTCAGGGCATCAGAGAGAGCAGATCAGCTCTTTGATACTGGTCGTAGCTGTACTTCTCATACAAGTATATTAATCTCCAGCTGTATCCAGGTTGTGCATGTTCTGTGACTTTCCAGCTTCTTTTCATAGAATCATGAAATGTTTTGGATTAGCACAGACCTTTAAAGGTCGTCTAGTCCAATCCCCCTGCAATAAGCAGTGGCATCTTTCACTAGATCAGGTTGCTCAAGTCCCATCCAACCTGACCTTGAATGTTTCCAGGAATGGGGCATCCACAACTGTAACCTGTCCAAGTGCCTCACCACCTTCATCATAAAAAATTTCTTCCCTATATCTGATCTAAACCTACCCTCTTTCAGTTCCCTTGTCCTGTCACTTCAGACCTTGGTAAAAAGTCTCTCCATCTTTCTTATAAGCCCCCTTTAAGAATGGAATGGCCACTATAAGATCTCCCCAGAGCCTTCTCTTCTCCAGGCTGAACAATCCCAACTCTCTCAACCTGTCCTCACAGGAGAGGTGCTCCAGCCCTCTGATCATCTTCATGATCCCCTTCTGGACTCACTCCAACAGGTCCATGTACTGGGGCCCCCAGAGCTGGACACAGTACTCCAGGTGGGGTCTCACAAGAGCGTAGAAGAGGGGCAGGATCACCTCCCTTGACCTGCTGGTCACACCTCTTTTGATGCAGCCCAGGACACGGTTGGCTTTCTGGGCTGCAGGCGCATGTTGCTGGCTTATATAAAATTTTTTATACACCAGTGTGGACTGTGTCTATTAACTGACTCCTGCCCTGATTACCTCAAACTTTCCTAATCTCTAGGCAGCTTCATTTCACTATCATCTCACATAAACTGGAGATCTTGTCAGAAATGTTTTCTTCTCACTTCCCAATATTACACGGCTTTAAATTTAGACAAACTATATTTCATAATTTAACAGGGATGCACTCAGAGTTTGATCTATCATAACCTACCACAGCTAGAAAGTGGTACTTTAACTATATGAGAAAAAGATGGGACTACCCCCAGGTTAGAGGTGCTACAGTAGAGCTGACAGACAATGGTGTTCTCCTCTCTCTCTCTCATCTCAAGATGATCTTTCCTTTTGAAGAGGAGAGGGAGTCTGTCCTAGGACATTTCATCCCACATCATGCAACAAGGAATTTGTTCTGGCCCAAGGGCAAGTACAGTGAGATAACAAGGATGTGAGACAACCAAGCTGCAACTCCTTTAGTAACAAGGCCAAATCATAACATTCCAATCTTCAATTACTCCATTTTTGGACAAATAACTATAAAAGTAGACACTTTCTGGATTTTTTTTTTTTTTTGTTAAATAGGGAAAATACTATGTTTTCCAAGCAATTTTGTGACAAACCTTGGTTTACAGTGCTTCATCATAGCTCTGGAGAGCTTTAAGATGCCAGATTCTTAACAGCTGTGAAATGCTATTTTTGACTTTTTTATTTTATTTTTTTTTAATTAATGAGACTTTCCTCAATTTTCCTTACAAGGGCCAAAGATACTGTATAATTTTGGTTTTGCAAAAAAGTAAAAAAGGATATGGAGCACAGTCCCAGTGACCTTGAATGAAACTCTCTGAAATAGCTCTAACGTAGTTTTCTAGTAAAAGATCTGACATGCCTAAAAATATATGCACATGTGATGCCTTATAAAGGTTGTATTGACATTGATTAACACAATTTATTCATGACTTCAGTATTTGCAAATAATGTGGCCACCTCAAGTTCCTACTGATAATTTTTCATCACGTGTCACTTCTTTCCATAGGTATACATTGGTATGCATTTCCAGTACATATTATATTGTGGTGCTTTGGAATATGGCTATGCAACTATTAGTTATCACTTGTGCGAAGACCAATGCAGCATTTTCCTCCTCAGAAGTTGGGACCAACCTTTGTGATTCACCTGTACCTTTTCTGGGTCAGGAAACCAGAACCTTACACTGGTTCCTGAATTTCCCAGTTGCATGGAAAATGTAGCATTGCAGCTATCACCAACATGAGCTCAATCAATCCATCCTATTTCTGAAGGCTAATTAAAAAGAAGAAAGGTAATTACAGATCAAACAGAGATATTGTTACTTACACCATATAGCTCTGTGCGAATTCTAACAAAACACCTCCTGTACCAAGTTCCTGTATCGCTCTCTATTTCTATGAGCTCGTCTATCTGCTTGGGAGTTTTGATTCTGTTAACCTAGAAATAAAACCAGAACAGCAAACATTTGCATTTTCTTGAATCATTAACTGCATCTTGAGGAGTATTGAAAGGTTTTAATAAATCCCGTAAACTAAAAATGAGCAGATATTAAACTTATGTCTACACTAGAAATGTTTTAGAAATATAAAGGAATAGTAGCACACTATAATGCCAGAGTTCATTATGGATGCAACTGTATCGGAAAAGCTCTACTTTCAAAGCATGCAGGAAATCCATTTCCTCTGACTGAAACAAGCTGTTACTGTCAGGTTCTGCTAGAGTGTTGCTGTACATACTCCTAATGCCACAAGGGATAAAACATTATTTAAATCTTCAGTTAACCATGTCCAGAGTTTGCCATCAAGTTGTTTCTGACTTGCTATCACAATATTGTTGAAAGTCTATTGATTAAAGATGCAGTAATGCAAATAGAAGTATTTGAAATGTCAAGAATTAATAGTTGCATAACATTTTTCTTTTGTTCTTATTTCCTGAGGCGTTAGGCAGGGAACTCTCCTTGTCTTTCAGATGTTGACTTTAACTATTCTTTTTAATGAAGAGAGAAAAAGTTAGGTGAAATGATCTGGAACCACACGTTACTGCTGTTATGAGCAATCATCTACTTCATCTAAAGTGAAATGAGATAAACAGACATCAGGGAAAAATACAGAATTACCAGTGACAAAGAATGTAATGTTGCCTACAATGCTAATTTTCACTTGCACTCTCCTGTGTAGCAGGATAAGAATGTGTTATAGGGTCTTTCCAGACACAGGACCTGACACACTTATACCATTGCATGGGTTTGGTTTTGGCTTCCCCTCTGGTCCCAGCTTCATAGAGATAGCACAAAAGGCAGTATATTCATCCACAGTTTACTTAAAAAGAAGACAGACAGAAAATAAATAAAATGGGGAAATGGACTGACATATAAGGAGGGAGTGAGCAAGAGATTGTGTGTTCAGTGTTTGACTCCAGTTTCTGAAGGCAGCAATAGCTCGTGTTTCTTAACAGAATGAGGACACCACCACCCTCATACTGGATTACAAGACATCAGGGAATAGCAGTATTGATGGCAAAGCTCTAGTTTTCAGCCTACTGCTTTTAGAGATGTACACTGTTTAAGATGAACCAGCAGCCTTATCCTGTGAACAAGAACAAACAAAAGCCCACTAAGTGGTTTTGGCTATAACTACCGTCGTTTCTGAAATACTGCATCTCACTGTCTTGCCAAACCATGACTATAAGCTTGTACCCTTCTTGTCATGCATCTTCCAACAGCAATAATCCTGTCTGCATCGTTCCATTGATTTTAAGCTATTCCTAAACTGCTTTTACAAAACACATTATGCAAAAGACCGAGTTGAGTCTCCAAGACTATTTAAGACCTTGTACATGCAGACATCCTCACACGCCACACCTCTGTGCAGAAAGGGCATGCCTTTTGAATCACACTCTATAAGCCAGCACCGCTCTTGTAGGCCCAGGGGCAACCTTTTCCCTGTCCTGAGCACCTGACTCATTTGTAGCTGTGGAGGCTGGGCGAAACATGCACATATCCTAGGACCACTGCATGTGACTGGAGACAAAAAGCCTTCATGGGTTTTTAATGTAAGAAAAGTCCTATTGAATCAAGACAATGGTCCATCTGGACCATGCGAATTCAGCTGTCAGTATACGAAGAATAAAAGAAAAAAAAAAAAGAATACCTATCTTAATGAAAATGGAACTTCTGTTTAAAAGTAGTGGGTAGAAATAGGTAATGTTTTAAATTTTACAAAATCAAGACATGCTGCAAAGGTAAATGTTTGCAGAAAAAAATTAATTAATAAATGGCAATGAAAGAGTGGAGAGAATTTATGTTTTAAGGATACAAAGATTTTTTTTTAACTTAAACATTTAAACCAATAGATCTCATGAATGTATATTTTAAGGACCCAGGAAGGTAATTAAGCGTATACATAAATGTTTAACTTGGGTAGTCCCATAATAGAAGATACTATCAACTTATTACCATCTCTGTTAGTGTCACTGCTCTCAGGAGAGATTTTCAAAAGTATTAAGAGCCAGTAACTACCTCCACAGTCAGTAACGCAAATGCATCTGTTTTTGAGTTTCTAACTCGAAAAACCAACTGTTCATCAGTTGATGCCTTTTCTGTTCTAAAGGTTCTAAAAGACAAAATCCTCAATAATATGAGTAACAAGAATAACCATGACTTGTGAAAAAAGCTTCTAGGAAAAGATGACCTCACTATAATTAGGAATACATATAAAAGGAAAGCACACTAAAAGTATAGCAGTAATGGAGAAAACATTACATCAACTGTAAAGTTAGAAAACATACTATAAACGTGTATCTCATGTCACTAGTGACATGAAGTGGAGGAAAATAGTAATGCCTAAGTCATAGAAAGCTACTGGATGAAGCAATGGGGTTTAGGAGAGCTATGTGAATAAATTACTGAGACAAAATGTCACAATATCGAGGACTAATTCACACTGAAAAAAAAAAAAAAAAGAAAAAAAAAAGAGAGGGACTAAAAGAATGTCCCAAACAAATTATTCATAAGTTCTTTGCTTTCTGGGTTTTGTAAGATGAAGTGCTGCTATTGCACAATGAGGACACAATGACGCATTTTCTAATCATATTAATGCAAGCTAAAAATAGACACTTCTACACACATGTAACCTTGAAATACAGTGCAGTATTTCTTATCCTTCAACTTCTCGATATCTGAAGTTGAGTTTTCCAAATGTTCATGGCATAAACTGGCAAAAATCCCAAGAAAGTGGTGGTTTTTTCCTTATTCATGCCTTATTCATGGCTGACCAGTTAACAAAATTAGCAATAAATAAAGTGCTGAGTTCAATATGGTTCAGTTTAACAACCGTAGAGAGAAAGACTTGGGAGATCACAAGAACTGGAAATAACAAGCATGTGCATTGTTTTCTTCTCCATGGCTTCTTTAGGACACATTTATGATTACATCAAACTGACGTGAGGCTGTGGCTGAGCCTTCCTCCCACCTTTTGTCCAGGCACATTTCTGCTTCTGCCTTGTGCCTAAACCAGCACCATAGGGGCACAGGGTCTGTGCTATAGCTGACTGTGCAATCAGTCAATGAATACCAATGCTGGCAGAAGAAAAACAAAGAGTGACTGGGGGCAGGCATACTCTCTCTGAAAGCAGCTCAGATCAGAAAGATCCAATTGTGAAGTTACACGCTAGCTGTATGGTGTTAGGCAAATCCCTTTACTAGAAAATGAAATCAGAAAATAAAATATTAGGTTAGATGGGATTAGAGGTAGGTTATCTGTGTATCAATAAACGAGGATTCAACATGACAGATGTGCTAACCAGCCTTCTTTCAGGCTAAATATAGGAGTTCTTGAGCTTCTTTGTGGGAAAAAAAAAATTAAAAATGGAGGCAACGGAAACTACATCCAAGGCAATACACTGCAAGTCTCAATGGAATAAGGTTATATGGTCAGATGGTCATTCCTTGAGACTGCATGCAAATGCAGAACAATTAAGAGGATTTCTTAATTGAGTTATATGTGCATTAAAGTAAGAAGAAAGCCTCTGGAAGAGGAAAAACATCCTATGGATGCCTCTGAGAGGGAGCAGAGTGCCAGCACTCCCACAGCACAGGAGAAGCTGGAAAGGCAGACTGGATTTCAAAGCAAGAAAATCAAGTCTGCTATTTGATCCTACTGTATCCAGGAAGATAAAATTGTTGTGTATATTCCTCATAAATAAGGAAGATGCCATAAAAAAGTCCCACATCTGAATTACCAATTTACCTTCTGAATAGAAACAACCCTTCAATACTTTGAATATGGCCTTATCATTAGACCTGTAAGTCAACAAGATGAAGTTGAGCTTTCAAGATATTTTGAGAAAATTAAATGCCTGAAATTACTATTTCACAGAAGTGAAAATGAATTTTGGAAAATTATTATTTTAGCTGATAAAAATGGAAAAAAATATTCAAAAGACACAACAGCCAACTAATTCAGACTTTTATGTACCTACTCTTATTACTAAGGATGAAGTAAACTTAATAAATAAACCACAAGTGAAGTCTATTATGTATCTTGGTGCACCAGAGAAAATTACCACACTGTGGGTTCATACACTCAAGAATATGCTGGCCAAAGGCTGATATCTTAATATCTGCTGTATATATAACAATTTCAGTAGGAATTTGGTTCTTATATTTAGGTATTTAGAATACAAATGATTGGCTTTGTCATGCAGAGTATTAATATTGATTGCTTAAGCCCTCCAGACCTTGCCAGTCAGCAAGCTCACTGATGTGCTAAGTGATTAGCTTTAAAAACAATACTCACTGTGAAGACTTTCTCAGGCTGACCACGAGCTCGCATGTTTGTGTCATGAATTTGCTTGAGTATCATCCAAGCTTCATCATGTTTTCCAACCTAAACATTTGACCAAAACATTTAAACAAAACATACATACAGATTGAGATATTCACTATAGACATTGAACAATCTTAATGCCCATTATATAAAGGTCATGATGTAAACACAGAAATAATTTTGACTGGAATCTAAAAACCATTTGGAAAGTTATACCTCCAGCAAGAATCGTGGGCTTTCTGGCATAAAGGTGAGGGCTACCACGGAAGAGACACAGGGCAGGGCGCAGACGATCACAAATACTCGCCAGCTGTGGAACTGGTAGGCAGACCCCATGCTGAAACTCCATCCTAAGAAAGCAGAAATTCACAAAATGTAGAGAAATAAGGAGTACTGTACACGGGAGTCTCCAGCTTCTTGGAGATGCGTAATGACACCTCTGTTTAAAAGAAGCCTGACTGATCTCTTCTATTTCCACAAATATCGATGATTTCACAAATAATCTTACACTATGAATTTCAGCCTCTTGCATGTGACTAGTCATGCTGGAAAATGGACATATTATGCAGGTTGGGAGACTTCCTTACACAGGGATGAAGAAGTCTCTTTCAAGTCTCAGCAAAATCTACATGAAGGTGGTTACATGAACCAAACAGGGACACCATCACCTTACTTATAATACATCTATGAATACTGGAATTAGGGAGAATTAATAATCTACACCCAGATGAATTTTACAGCCTTCCTTATTATTATTATTAACTTTTTCTATGAATAATTAATTTCAATACTCTTAGTAAGAGTCTCCTAATGTAATATAGTGCAACACATGAAGCATTTACAGTGCCTGACTGCTGTTTCTGTCTTGTTCCAGAGCACTATACCACCCCTTAAATTCTGTTAACAGTAAACTGACACTTGTTCCCCCTGCCCCATAACACTATGTAGAGGAAAAAAATACTCAGTGTTTAAACTTTTATCTGAGATGACCAATCTTAACACTGAAGGAGAGACAGAATTTATGATTATAGAAAGATATTAAGAAAAAAGAACAACAGGAAAACAACTCTCCTCATCTGAAAAATTGATCTGAGTGCTGTCTAATAACATGCTGTAGAAGCCATTGTTAAAATATACCAAGAAGAACACAAAAGGAAATACTGGAAAACCTACACGTGAAACTGCAGGCTGGTAGTTCAGCTTTTTAATAAAATATCTGATTGTTTGGTATATTATGACTGGGCTATTAAAATGCTAGAATTGTAAGAAACCCAATAATTTCTCTTAAGAAAGAGAAAAATATTATATGGGTAACTACCTGGCCTTTTAGTCTGGCTTCAATACAGCAGAAATTTTCAAGTAAAATATTTGAGGATAACTTATTAAAAGATGAATGGAAGATAAAAATAATGATAAAGGACAGAAGAGGTTACTGGAAGAAAATGGAATCTTGGCTAATAAAAGAGCTGACGCCAGATTAATCTGATATATTCCTTTGCTAACTGATTTTTCTAGACAAAAGATATGGTTAATTAAATCTGTCTGGATGTCGGTAAACAACTGGTACAACATTGTACCAAATGGCCTATTAAATAGTTCTTCAAAGGAGGTATTTATCTGTTAAATGTATAGTGTATTTTGGAATTTAAAGATCTCATGCTGTGGGTCATAAATACCTTCTTGGGAAAAAAAAAATTCCTTCTCATATTAAAGTACTTACATGTTACCATATGAAAAATGCAGGCAACCCATGATTTATTTTTGCCCTTTATCAACAGTTCAGTGAAGCATTCTGATCTGCGGACTTGGGAACCTTTTTTTCTGGTCTCCTACAAACCATCTTTGTTTCCAAAATGATATCAGCTTGCTCTACAGCCTTTTTTAGCCCTGCCATCTTTACCCCAGGAAGACAGAGGTAAAAATCAATGACAGAGTTGGCAATGAACTTGGAATGCCATGTTACCTTTTTTTAAGTAAGGCTCCAGAGGAACATACCTCCCCCCTCCAAAGTTCCCTCCAACAAAAAAAGGCTGTTTAAAATTTAATGTTAAATTTTATTCCAAAATAGAACTTGGAATGAAAATTTAAGATCAATAAATACAAACAAAAATTATGTTAAAGTGTACTAAAATTTATTTTCTACAGATTTTTTGAACATGTCAACTTTTGATCTTAAGGAATTTCAATTCTTAAAGAATATGGGCATACTTTACATCTAATTTGGGAAGGGAAGGAAATAAAGAAAGAAAAGTTTCAGTGTGTTAATGAGGCAATTAGAAACCATACCTGTATTTTGGGTATTGTGTACACATTCTATTATAATCATTAGAATCATGTTCTTCATTATATATTTTAAACCTTAGTACAAAATCACCTGATACAGAAGGCAGCACAGGATGGGGGTTTTCAACTTGCAGAACAGCGCGGTCAACGTAGTTTGTGTTGTCATTAGAAACTGTCCCAGAAATACACAGAGCCACTGGTGTGTTTAGACAATCTGCCTTTCGCCACTCTGGTTTTTGTTTTATGAGACTGAGCTGCATGAAGGGCACTTTGTGGTAAATGAAATCAACCTGGCTTTATACCTGTTATAAAACAACGGCAACATCTTGTGCTCTGTAGCCAGTCCTGGAAAATGGTAGTGATAATTTATGTTAAGGTGTCATTTGTTAATGTAAGTGAACTCTACTACACTTAATTAAAAGCAATGAGTGCACCATTCATCCTGCTGTCATTCCTGACAACCTAGGAAACATCTTTTTTACTCCTCAAAATATCTGAGGGGCATGTAAAGTGAAATGTTCATTGTGGTTTTTATTGCTCTTATTCCATTTTTTTCTCTATGTATTTTATTAGCTGCTGCACTTTATTTTGTGATTTAACATATCTGCTGAATTAATCATAGTAGTGAATGTCAGGATTATAAGAAGCAATTGGTAGAAGAAAAAGCCAGCTGCAACACAGCTTTCTTAAGGCTGCTCTCCTGTCCATTCCAGCACAAGCACTAGATCAGCAAAACAAACATCTAGTTTAAATGCAGAGCAAGTTTAGATTTATTCTTACATTTAACACATCCCATTTTCCTTGGTCATGAGCTAATCCGGAAAATGGAACCATTAGAGTAGCTCTGAATTTAGCTCACAAAGTGGCTTTCATTCCTATTGTATGTAAGTCTTGAAACTAAATGGAAGTGCGTTCTTGGCTGTAGCTCAATTTGCTTCTCCCTTCCCTGATTTATGACACAATAGCAAAGACAGAACAGTTCTACATGGTTGCATTCAGAGGACTGCACAGCAACCTAGAGCTAAACCTCACCCTTGCTCACTGGCTATGCCGTATTCGAGAGTCATTAATCTTGAAAATGGTGGCAAGTCCCAATGTTGTATGAATTGCAAAATACTTGGCCCAAATGCATCTTGGGAATGATGTGCTGTAGAACAACATAAAATCTGCAGTGACTGAATGTGAAGCTGCTGCAGCAACCTTCGTGCTGAATACCACCCTCCCACTTTACTGACTGCTGGAAAAAGCCAAGTGAATCACAGACGTGGCAATTACTGATTACGGAAACACACCAGCATGCAGCAAAGCAAAACCAAAATGTACAAGATGCTAATTTATATCTAATCACCAATTAAATGTCAATGGAATATTCCCTCCCAACAGAGCATTTCATCTGCTCCATAATATTACTAAATTAAAAGGATATTATAAATAAGTTCTTGGTCAAGGAAAGAAAATATCATTTCTGTCACAGACTTTCTAAATAAATACAGAGGTAAACCTGTCCATATGCTGAATTTTATAAATGTATATCACCAGATAAACAGTGGGTATCTTCAAAGACAAGAATCATCTTTTAGAGTGGCTAGGTCACTGGAGAGCAGAAAAATAAAGATGACTTGCTTAACTTTCCAAAATGAGGGCTGAACGGGAACATGATAGCTCTCTACAAATCTGTAAGTTACACTAAAGTTCAATGTGGGCAATGAAAAATACGGATGCCTACAGGCTCTGTATAAATACTGACTGGCAAAGGGAAGGTTTCTAAATACCAGAGGAATAAAACTGTGAAACACCTTTCTAAGAGACTAATGTGGGCAAAGAAATCCTAACTGAATACAGGCATGCCATTTTATGGCATGGTTAGCTAAACACTAACTATTCTTGACAACAATTTTTGTTAGTCATTCAGTAGGAATCAGCAGAATGAGACTCATGGCAGTGTCAGAAATTGTCAAAAGCCAAGTTTGCACAAAATTATGTCTTTTGATAGATCAAAGGAGGCAATAGATTTAAGAATATCCGTAAACTTAGGGGTGAAGGTGAAAGATAGGCAAGGAATTTATAGGAATTCGTAGACTTGATAGATTATTCTATTATTTTATAACTTTTAAAATTTCTGTTTTCCACACAACCTTTGGTCAGAACTCAGCTTTCTAGCCTCAATTTTTAATGTTTTAAGTTTCAAAAATTTCCAGTAACTAAGATGTGTGATTGCTATAAATTGCCACCCGGTGGCACTGCCACCACACTTAATACAAATAATAAGTTTACAAAATTTCTGCAGAAAGACTTCTACTGTTAAATGTTGTTGTTTTGTTGAGTGTTTCCCAAATCTAAGCTAATCGAAGTTATAAGGAGGATTGTAAATATTTTGCAGCTGGCAGCACTGTTATACATTATTATTGCATTTATATTTAGTCTGCCTTGGCATTACAAATTTTAACTGTGAGTAACATCTAGGATTTGAGCCATTTATTTTAGTGATACAGATTAGAATAATGGTAAAACATCGCTAAAACAAAACAAAAAAGTCGTTCAGGGAAGTTATACAGCTGAGGAAGCTTGAGCCTTTTTACAAGAATGAGTGAAATATATCGTTTCCAACAAATGTTGAAATAAGGTTTTCAGAATTATTCTGTAATTGTATTAATGTGAAATTCCAGTAACACAAAGTAGATCACTTGTCTTTCCTGTGATTAGACTATCAATATCACATGGGAAAGGCAGTGATATTTTTAGCCTATATAGATAGTTAGATACTCTATAAACCCACTGGCTCAGCAGGGCAGCTGCTGGTAATTTCTGCAGAAGGAATCTGGAAATAAAATAGCTGAAGTGTGGCAGGCCATGAAGGAGGTACCTTTAAAAAAGTACCTGTAGAAGACACTTTAACTCTCATCTGCATCTATCTGGCTCTCTAGCTGATGCTATTCATCCCTGGGTGCCATGAGGATCAACAGTTCAGTGAAAGAAGAAAGTAATAGTGTTAAACAGATATATTTTACAAATACATTAAACTCAGACTTGGTCTGTTGACACTTAAAACTGTGTTTAAAAGGAACAAGACACATTTCTTCTCTTGCAGAGGAGTGGGTTGTCAACAACTGACACTCATCATTTCCCTGTGCTGGCATTGATCTTCATCTGAAGACCTATCAGGTCACCAATCACTCTGGTAACATTATCTGCCATTCAGACAAGCCCTAGGACAGCTGCAAGCAGAGCTGACCTCACATAGAAAATATTTTTTTCTCTAATACCATCAGACACAACACCTCTATCCAGTGCATGGCACTGTAGTCTGGGTGAGGTCTCCAGCTGTAGTACCTCTGAACAGTGACATTAATAATCCACTTTTTAAATGTTTCTAATACCTGTACCTGTAGTGCTGCCCAGTTTTATTTTTCATTGAGGAGGAAATTTGTATACCCCCATACTTCAGACAATGATATGGTATGATACGTGCCCAAAATTTGACATTTAGTAATGATATGTCAGCCTTTCACTTAACCTAACATGTACTCCATGCAGAATATAGAGCCTATAAGCTTGTTTCTTAGTGAAGGCCTATAGGTCTGATCAAAAAACCATAAAAAATAGTTTAAAATCAGAATACGTAGCAATGCTGGGGGGAAAAATAGACTAGGGAAGCTTGTAAGTCATTGTATGCATGGATTGCAATGGTCTGACTGAAACCTGACTTTCATATGGCTCTAAAGTATGGCTGTATAAAGACGCTATGACTCAGAGTAGCCAATACAGGCAAGAAGTTAATCTTTAAAATGGCAGAAGAGATGAACAGATGTAATCATATAAAAGAATTAAAGCAGCAGTTCTTAATAAGAGAACTGCAGGTACCCAACAGCCTGGTCATGTCTTCTGTTTAATCTTGGCAGATGCTAGAGGTGGCAAAGGATGTTTAATTAGTGGTCTGTTTATGGTTAGGAAATCAGGATCTCACTTGCCTTCCCAGCTAAACAAACATGAATACATGTAGCGACTCGAAGTAGGCTGTTGTTAGTACTGGGCCTAACAGGAATGGCATGTCTGCATCTTGACTTCAACAAAGGAAGCTATTCTTGCACTTCAATTTTCTTTACTGGGAAAGATACTGGGCAAACTAAATAAAACAGAGACATGAAAAGGCAAAATCGCTCACTAACAGTTCACATTTTATGAAGTCTTACAAGGCAGAAGAGAAGCTATACAGAACCAGAGATAAAGGACTTGCAAACTAAATTGACCATTATAAATTTTCTGCATAATTGTGCCAGATTCTCCCCTTCAGTGGACTATTCCAAAGATTGAATAGTTAAAACAAACAGTGGCAAAAGGCTAGAAGAGCTTTCACGAGAAGCATTTTCAGAATTGGTTTTGCCTCTTCTGCACTTGCTGTGTGACTGAGAAAGGTTATGATAGCAGGAGGATTCCTGTACGCTTCACGGAGCAGGACAAATTACCTTTTTACTCATGTAAAGCAGCGCCAAAACAAATAAATTCTAATGATTACCAGTATATACAAAAACATGTTAAAAAAAGAAAA